ACCCGGGTTTGTAGGGTGAAGGGTTCAGAACTCCCAGAGCCCTCGACTTCTAAACCTTCGTTCCTGAAACCCCATAAACCCTAAACCCAAAACCCCTAAACCCCTAAACCCAAAACCCCCTAAACCCCTAAACCCCAAAACCCCTAAACCCTAAACCCAAAACCCCCTAAGCCCTCCTAAAACCTGAACCCTGAAACCCCATGAACCCCATTGATCCTAAACCCCTAAACCCTCCTAAAACCTAGACCCTGAAACCCCATTAACCCTAAACCCTAAACCCCCAAACCCAAACCCCCCTAAACCCTCCTAAAACCTAAAGCCTGAAACCCCATGAACCCCATTGACCCTAAACCCTAAACCCCTTAGACCCAAAACCCTCCTAAAACCTAAACCCTGAAACCCCATGAACCCCATGGACCCCGAAACCCAAAACCCCCAGACCCAAAACCCTCCTCAAACCTAAACCCCTAAACCCTGAACCCGCCAAGGACAGGGCAGAAGCCCCAAGGGGCCAGGATGTTCTCTAAATTAGGGTCCCTTTTCTGGGCTTTGAAGTAACCAGGGAGAAAAAATGTATAGACTTTTATTTCATAATGGTTCCTTTAAGGAACAGGTCCCAAAAAAAAGTATTAAAGTATGGCACTCCAAAGCCCAGTTTTTAGGTCCCCAATATAGTACGGCACCCCTAAAAAAGGGACCCTAAACAGGGACCCTCATTCAGAGAACGACCCCTATAGAGCTCAAGACAAACCTGCGATTGGACCTGAAATCTAAAACCCTAAACCCTAAACCCTAAACCCGAAACCCTACTTGGAGGGTCGGGGGACTTAGTAACTAGTTATTTTACAGACTTGTAAGTACCATAACCCCAATTAGGATCCCGTCTAGGGCACTTATAACTCTACTTAGTATCTACTTACTAAGTCGACCCTCCAAGTAAACCCTAAACCCCCTAAACCTCCGACCCTGATTTAGAGAACGATCCGCCAAGGTACCAGGATGTTCTCGGGCTTGATATCGCGGTGCAGGATGCGCGCGGCGTGAAGGTAGACTACAGCACTGACCAGTTGCCGAAAAAGACCTCAGAGTTCAGGGGTTTAAGGGTTTAGG